TTGCCTGATTACTGACTGTAGTGGTAGCATCAACGTTGTAGCTTTTGGTACTGAATTGCTGGCCGCCTCTCTGAGGAGGTCCATTTGTATATAGATATGAACTGCTGTATAGATATAGATGCAGGAGTACCTATATAGATGTGCTTTGCGGCTCTGCCGGGTTCCATGGCTCTGCCGGGTTCCATGGCTCCGCCGTGTTTTGTTTTCTTCAGCGGGTTTGCCGTCATTATGTTATTGCATTCATATTTTATTGTTCTTTTGTACTATAATTTATTTATATATTGATTTCATATTAATTTATAATTTTCGTATTTTCTTTGTTGTTTTGTTATTTTGTTGTTTGCTGTTTTGTTGTTTGTTTTTCCTTAATATTTATTTCATTCAATACTTTATCCTTATTATTTATCTATGTTTAATTTTGCATTAAAAATGTATTATTTATATTTATTTATTATTATTTAATTTTTTTTCTGTTATTTTTAGTTTATTTTTTTTCTTGTTTTTTCTAGTTTATTTTTTTTTCTTGTTTTTTCTTTTTCCGTGTGTGTGTGTTCTCTCTTTGTTTCAGATTTTAACTTTCAGAGCTATTAGACTGTTAGGTACCAATTAAACCCAGTTTAGGCAAGGGGCTTTATGGACTAGCTTCCAGCGCTCCTATAAGAATAAATTAGAAAGAAAGAAATGCCGCTCCGATCCACCAAAGTGGAACAAAAGAAATGGGATATTAGATTTAGACGTATGAATTGAATATGCCTGCTTAAACTTGGTCGCATGCTTTTTAAATAAAAAGATCGCCACTAATTCCGTATAATGCTTAAGTTATGAATATTTGCACTAAATAAACCGTAGCCTAAGTCCCCTAGTAGTAGAAGAAGTAACAATCAACTGCAGCCTGTCATGGCCCTCATTAGACATACACTACGGCATGGCCACATCTCCATGAGGTTAAAAAACAATGAAGTTTTCAATCAAATGTTGCCAGCTGTCAATTAAAATTATCAAATGTTGACAGCTGGATTTCAGGATTTGGATTTGACACATCACACATTTGGATTTGAGCCTGCTGCTGCATGTGCATGGTGTCGAAAAACTGTCGATGGTGACTTTGAAAAAGGCAGAGTCAGGCCTTTACACCTGCTATCAGTATCAGCCACACAATGCACATTCATTTTAGTAGGAATGGAGAAAAGAAGACCAAGCCAGGCTGCCAGGTAGAACCATAGAAGCAACATTAAAGGATAGGCTAGAGTTTAGCAGAGCCTGTAGAGGGGTGTGAAACTGAAAGAATGTGTAAAGGGTGAGATGAAGAAAAAACAAGGGGATGAGACATATGGGAGGAAAATTGATTGCTTTATTGTTGCTATATCCCATTTATAGCAATAATAGCACTGTATACTTTAGATATATAATATATTAGGTTATTAGCTATGGGATGGTATTGGTACCTCTTAGCATGGTGGCAGGGAATTATTGTGAGTACTTATGGGTTTGCAAGAGCATCGCCCGGTCCGGCTCAGCAGGGGGGGGGGGTAGGAAGGGAATAACGAAAGTCTCATTTACGACTGGACTAACCCATTGAGCAACATTTTCTCAGTTATGGTCTCATAACAACTCAATTTTAAAATATGTACAGTTTCGAAGTTGATATAAGTAAATAAATAAATATTTGAACTGGGAAATTCCTTACTTACTTACGTTGCTTCCAGATTTATTTACGATCGGTCCATAAAGAAGTGTTGATCGGTTCAAAATGACATAAGAACAGGTTCTTTTGAATAACCTATGGATTGGCACCATGCCTCTTAGTCTTAGGCCCTTAGGCCCTGAATCTGAATGACTATTTGTGTTCAATTAAATTGGTGCAGTTATTCTTATTTTATTATTGCTTTTTCCTTACACTCCATCACATGATCACTCCCCCAGCCTCCAGGCCCTCCAGGCTCTACTCTTGTCAGCTGCCTGACTGCCTCCTCTCCCTCAGTCCCTCATTCTCCATGCTGGAGTAGCTGGACCATGCACTCCTCAAAAATTGCTTTCCACTCTTACTCTTAGTCGTAGCAGCCATGGTCAGGAAGATGTGCTCATGTGCCAGGTGCGTGGGAATTTATTTTGTCATTTTAACGACCTGCGCGGTGCGCCGTACTATGCTGGTAAAAAAATGCGCCGTGCGCCCGGCGCCATACTTTAGAAAGCTAAAATAGTTCTACTATTTTAGTCGACAATATACGCAAGTATATTGACTACGCGAGTCGAACTGACAATAATAAAATGTAAGACACGTCCGGGTTACTTCTGACTTCCGCAGTCCGCTTGTCAGATACGGAATGTACGGTAATCGTAAACTGCGGCTATTATACATACGAAATGTAAACAGACAGTGTTCAGTGTTGCCATATGACTTTGGAGGATTCCGTTACGGGCTTTGCTGTCGGGCGGACGTGTGTTATTAGCTGCTCTGTTCTTGGGGTACTCGATGCTAATTGATCGTTTTCCCTGACAATTGAGGAGACTTGGCATTCGATAATTGCTTTTCTGTGGGCCTTATTTGTAGCAAAAATCACATAGCCTATTCATATGTTCTGTTTAGTTTTCCTAATTTACTTTTTGTCCATTACTTAATTATTTTATTTTTGTTAGTTATTTTTATTATTTATTTATTTTTTTTTCTTCTTGTTTGCCGCCCCTGAGCGTGTGCTGCCATGGCAGACGTGACAGGGTTGGCTTCTCCAGTCATAGTGGCAGTCAATTTTGATGTTGAAGCTAATGACGGAATCAACCACAACCAGGTGAGAGTTCCTACATTTGAGCTTCTAGAGGAAGACATGGCTCTGACTTAAGGTGCATGTGCTACTTTGGGTTCAGCTGTCTCTGCGGGCAAGAAGCGGGAACGCAATCTTGGTGCAGTAGCCAGTAGTGATGATGACATTGAAGTCTTTCGACATCCCAAGAGAGTTGCAAAACGTGTGCCTGACTCTCCTGTGATGGAGTTGGAGAGTTTTCCTGGTCCTCTTGGACTGGACACCACTGGGATGGGGGACTCTAGTGTCAGTTGTGTGGGGCCGTGGGTGAATGGTGAAGTTCCTGTAAATAAAAATCATGTTCGCATTTCCACAAATGCAACACTACTTAGTCAAGGCAAGGGTCTCACAGTCTTAATCAAACCAGTTGGTCTAAATGCTAACACATTTCTACAAAATCCNCCGGAACTGCGTTCTACATCGCGTAGTTCAGGTGGCTATGAGCTCGTATGCTTGGGTGCTCAAATGTAGCTCTCACAGCCATCAGAACTACGCGCTACAACACATAGTTACGATCGTAGCGTGTAGATCAATACAGCGCATCATCCATATCGATCGTAAATAGCGATTTATGGAGAAGCATAATTGGCAACCGGCGTCCAGTGGTGTCCAGTGGCATCCACCTCGGCGTCTTTGGTTCATGAAATCGGCGTCCTCGACCTATGTTGTGCCATGCTCTACAGTCTGGGTCAAGGCAAGGGTCTCACAGTCTTAATCAAACCAGTTGGTCTAAATGCTAACACATTTCTACAAAATCCCGTCAAGCTGGCTCGTGGCCTTAGAGACTCTGCCTATGGCAAATATCCCAGAGAACAAACGTGAGGAGAAACTTGGTGGCAGTAGAGTTTACATAAATATCTAACTCAGACCTGAGCAGTGAGCACTCTCCTTAAAGTTACAAAGGTTGGAACCTGGCAGGTCACTTGTTCTCAACCTGGCACTGACACTTGCATTAGCGGAGTTATTGGTCCAATCCACCCATCGGTGGAGGTCTCAGAACTTCTGGAGTCAGCTAAGTCCGGCTCTGTGAAGATCAAGGAAATTGTACGACTTCCATGCCATCGTGAGGGTATCCAGGCAAAGTCAAGTGCAGTGAAGGTGGTATTTGAGGGCAGGCAGCTTCCTGAGGCACTAGGCAGTCTACAATTCATAGTGGCAAAGCAGAGAGTTTTTTAGACTCTCTCTCAAGTTCAATTTTGAGTACTATAAGTAGACCAGTAAAGTATCATGGATACCACTCAGACCAGCATTATCATACAAAAGAAATTAGTTTAAATATTGAGCAAATGAGAAAATTAAGAATGAACCGTTTCTAAAAAATCTCTGGTTTGCCACTATGGTCTACATTGATTATCTGCGTTACCCAGTAAGACCATTTGTTATGGCACCACTCAGGTGTTTCAAATGCCAGCAGATGAATCACATTGCATGTGGGTGCACTGGCCCAAGGAGGTGCTTATTGTGTGCCGGACCCCATGATAAGTCAGAGACTCAGAGTGCCCTAGTAGTAGGGGCTCAAATTGCCTGTGTGCAGGGTTGGCAATGATTAAATCAAAATGATTAAATCATGTGATTAAATCACTTGATTTTTTTATAAAAAAATCATGATTTTTTTTATTTTTTTATTTTTTCATATAATTAAATATATTGAGTGGCAGTCTTTAATTTATATTGAGGTATTGTTATTCATGGTTTAGTTCATGCATGTTTCTCGTGTTCTCGCTTATTAGTGTAATTGGTATGCATGTTGCACTTTAATGTATAGATGAAACTCTGCATGCCACTGTCATTCAGCATAGTGACTTACTCTGACTGGGCTTGCATGTTGTAGGAAATTGGCATGTCAAATTTACTCTTTGAAGGTTCACATCTCTGCTGCATGAAAAAGATCTTCTGACCTTTGGTGCATGCCGCAGCCATTCTTGCCCAGAGCTCTCTAGCTTGGGGCTTGGCCCCAGTCTCTTCCTTTTATCTGCAACTAATGACAGAGATCAGGCTGGGCAGTGCATAAGCACTCGAAGCCTTCAAATTCAATTATAAAAAATATGACTTTGGAGAAAATTTCTTCTAAAATAAAGTTCTAGATTTCTCATTCACCAAATTTCCGTATCAAGAAAAATCATATATTATTGAAAGATAATTAAAGCCTAAAGGCATACTGTACTGAGTAATGTGAGTGTTACGTCTGTTCCTCCTCAAACTGCTCGTGCGCGGCAGCGCAATGTAGAATTGATGGCCAGGATTATCCTGGCCATCAATCAATTATCCAGGATATCATCCTGAGTGTGGCATAGCAGCAGTGAGCAGTCACAGTGAGACGTGAGAGTGAGTCACTCCTGTTGACAGACCCACGTCATTGCAATCATCCATTTGTGAGTGAGTGATTTGTCTCCCATTCACTCATACATCACACCATCACCATTATCTTTCTCATCCAGTGTTACTCTCATTATTTCCAGTCTCTCCCTCTCATATGCATCACACTCCATTATCAAATGCTTCACAGTTTCCCTCTCCCCTCTGGCCTCTGTCACATATATATCTTCTCTTCTTTCATTTCACATTTTCACCTTTATGTCCATGCATTCACATTCAAAGCATTTGCTCTTGCACAGGGCTGGAAAAGTCCTATTTTTGTCTGAAATCTCGTGGCTCGAATGTCACATATTTTTGTTTGATTGAAAAATCGCGGTTTGCACTTTGGAAACATGTCAATTCATAAAATTTTCAACTTCCGCAATCTGCATTGCTTTACCGTTCCAGCCAAAATATCCTGCAGAAAAAACATAAACATCGTAATGTAAACAAATAAACTAAACATTTTGTAGAAGATAGCGCATAGTTGTGGTCATGTCAAAGCGGTCAGACTGCCATTAACACGTGCTCAACTTACAGTAAAGACAACTTTTATTGTTGCCGTTTGACTGTTCTGTTTTAGGGTATAATTAGAGATTTGGGGTAACACATGCATGGAGTTTGTAAATAAATTTGTGCCTAGTAAAGGGCTTTTCATGGCCAAAATATGAAATTCATGGCTCAGTGAAATGGAATCACAGCTCGAAGAAATGTAATCATGGCTGGCAAATCCATAAAACCACGGCTCAAAAAATTCAGTCGCGGCTCGCCAAGTAGATATATTCCATGCCTGCTCTTGCACAGAACATAAAGTGTCCACCTCTACTTCTGTCACATATGTACCATAAAATGGGGTAACTTAGACCACTTTTTTTTATAAATGATGCCATTTTTTTACTAGCTAAATTAAACTTTAATTGAAACATGCAAAATACAGGTCCATACTCTAGCTTCACTCACCATATATTGCTGGCTCCTGCCTCTCGTAGTCTTTATGTAATTTAAAAAAAAGTGATGGTCTTTGTTACCCCAGCTCTTGGGGTACCTATCTTAGACCGGGTGGTAAAATCAATTATATTTTTCATAAAATAAGTCCAAATAACTCCAGGTTTTGGTGCATTGTAGTAGAACTCTTCTAGTTACATATGCAAATGACAAACTTGAGGAAAGTGTCATATATTGCAAATGGGGGGCACCGCCCCATAATGGGGGGAAATGTGACTACCTAATGGCAGCCCTGACGGGGTAAATATTTACTGGCTTGGAAATTAAGTTAAAATTACCATATATAAGACTCTGTATAACATAAAGAAAAAACATGAATAGGCTGTCAAACATAAAATATGTTATATATGGTAATTATATATTAACTTCCAAGCCAGTCTATGTTACCCCATCAGGGCTGACATTAGGTGGTCTAAGTTCCCCCATTTGGGGGCGGTGCCCCCCATTTGCAAACTATGACACTTTCCTAAAATTTGTCATTTGCATATGTAACTAGAAGAGTTCTACTACAATGCATCAAAACCTGGAGTTATTTAACCAAAAAATAAAAAAATTGGAGGGAGTACTCTGACAGGCTTTAAATAATAGTTTTTTTGTGGGTCATTTTTAATTTTTTAACCTATTAGATATGCAAACTTTTTAAATCTTTCTATTGTGTTATGTAGCCTCAGTATTAGGCCTTTAATGCCCATTGACAAAATTTTTCTATGTCAAATAGTTTTTGAGTTTTGGGGGTTTTTGTTAAAAAAACGAAAAGTGGTCTAAGTTACCCCGCCGGTCTAAGTTACACCATTTTACGGTACTCCTACTTTGGCATCTCTTTAATCTTGTACAATCTCAGGCTGTCATTTCTTTCTATTCCTTGCTTCCAAACTCTTAAACCACATGATTTTACCCTATTTTCTATTTCTTTCTTCCATTCTTTGATATCCCATTTAATCCCTGTTGCACACTGTACTGTTATCATCTATTCCTCTCATAGTCTATTATTCCCAGAACAAGCCCATTTTTCATGTAACTCATACTTTTGTACAATTGCTTGACACTTATCTTCCCATTTGCTCACTCTCAAGTTCAACAGGTACATCTTACAGGCTCACCATACATCATCCTTTCTTTCTAGTTGTACTTTACGTATATCCCTATGCTGCTTTCATTCTTCTCTCCCTACATGTACTTTATCCCATATCTCCTCTTAGAGCCTCCACTGCAGTCCATCTGAGGGCTCAAAGAGCCAGTCTAGCCATACTATTCTGTACAACCTCTAAGTTATCTAATTCCCCATCATTCCACACAATGACATCCATTCCATATGTAATCCCATAATCCAGCTGTCAATCAAATGTTGACAGCTGGAGCTGTCAATCAAATGTTGACAGCTGTCCATCAAATCTTGACAGCTTTCAATCAAATGTTGACAGTTGTTAGCTGTCAATTGAAATGTTGACAGTTGTTAGCTGTCAATGAAATGTTGACAGTTGTTAGCTGCCAATGAAATGTTGACAGTTGTTAGCTGTCAATGAAATGTTGATATTATATTTCTTTTATATTTCTTGCATTATATATATACTACATTTATAATATTTATAGGCCCCATTATGAATTTTACAAGTGGTAAAATATTCTGTGAAGATTTTGTATCAATTGAAACTGATTAGTTCAAAATTTCTTCTTTTTTGCAGATCTGCATCAAAAATGGCCAAATTGCTGGCAACATTGGAGGGGCACAAAGATCGAGTTTGGTGTGTGTCTTGGAACCCTCAGGGCAACATTCTTGCTTCTTGTAGCTCTGACAGATCCATCAGATTATATTCTAAGGAGAATGATACATGGGTGTGTAAGATTACATTATCTGAGGCTCATTCAAGAACAGTGAGGTGCATTGCTTGGTCTCCAACTGGTAAATCTTTTGCTTCATCCAGTTTTGATTCCACTGTAAATATATGGGATGGACAAGATGGTGAGTTTGAGACTGTAGCAACACTGGAAGGACATGAGAATGAAGTGAAGTGTGTGGCTTGGTCAGCTTCTGGATCACTTTTGGCCACATGCTCCCGAGATAAGTCAGTTTGGGTGTGGGAAGTTGAGGGTGATGATGAGTTTGAATGCATTTCTGTCCTTCCTGCGCATTCTCAAGATGTTAAACGAGTTGTGTTCCACCCTGAGTCCAACATACTGGCTTCTTGCTCCTATGATAACTCAATGAAAATATACAGAGAAGATGGTGATGATTGGATTGTGAGCTGCACCTTGACTGGTCACAGTTCGACTGTGTGGTGCGCTGCGTTCAATGCTTCAGGGGACCGCCTCATCTCTGGGAGCGGCGACAAAACGCTGAGGTTGTGGCAACGCTATGAACCTGGTGGGTTCATTCCCTCTTTTAATTTTACCAATTTCTCTCCTAGTTCTATTTTTTCCAGATATTTCCTTTCCAAATGCTGAGCTTACCTACCTACATTCAGATGCAAAAAGTGAATGATTAAATTTAGTACTACGTATTACTCAAGTTCTGGGAATTTTTTTGGTAGTTGAGTTCCACTGTAGGTATGTAAGCCAAATGACAGATGCTTAGATATTTGGTTACGTGGTAGTTTTTAGTTGGAAAATGTGGTCACAAATTATTAATTCCTTTCTCTGAGCATCCTACTGATGTTGTCGATGATTTTAAAACCATTAATTTATGATTCTTATCAATTTCCAATGTTATGAGACTCTTTCAGCTGAGTTTCCGTAATGCTTTCAATGAAGAAACTGAGGAAATAGTCCCATAGATTTCTCAAAAACTATGCAGTTATTAACAAAAATTTAAGGATCAACTCTCCATTCAGGCATTTAATTTTGGAAATTCTGATTTCTTGTGAATTAATTTTGAGCTGTATTGAGTTACTATTATCTTAGGAAGAAATATTTCCAATATGAGAGTTGTTGAACTCAATTATAGCTGTGCACCACTGTCATACTCGAAATTGAGTTTTTGACCATTATATTTATTACTGAGAAATTACAAAGCATTTATTTTTATAGGTAACGCTGAAGGTGTTGTCACTGAGAACGGCGAGGCGACCTGGAAATGCGTGTGTGTGCTGTCCGGCGCCCACGACGGGGCTGTGTACGACGTGGCCTGGTGCCCGCTCACTGGCGCCATTGCCAGCGCCTGCGCTGACGACTGCATCAGAATATTTACGGTTGTGGAGGTGGGGCCTTGATAATACTTCAGGGGAGGCTGGTTAGGAGAATTACTTCCACAATTTGAGGAGAATCTTTTGACAATAGAGTATTAGTGAGAGGCTGCTGATGTATGCCGTGTGCAGGGAGAGGTGCTGAGGTGTTGCCGTGTGCAGGGAGAGGTGCTGAGGTGTTGCCGTGTGCAGGGNTCAGGATATAGGACCTGTCTTACCTGCTGTAGGATGCAGCACTCTCAGGATATAGGACCTGTCTTACCTGCTGTAGGATGCAGCACTCTCAGGATATAGGACCTGTCTTACCTGCTGTAGGATGCAGCACTCTCAGGATATAGGACCTGTCTTACCTGCTGTAGGATGCAGCACTCTCAGGATATAGGACCTGTCTTACCTGCTGTAGGATGCAGCACTCTCAGGATATAGGACCTGTCTTACCTGCTGTAGGATGCAGCACTCTCAGGATATAGGACCTGTCTTACCTGCTGTAGGATGCAGCACTCTCAGGATATAGGACCTGTCTTACCTGCTGTAGGATGCAGCACTCTCAGGATATAGGACCTGTCTTACCTGCTGTAGGATGCAGCACTCTCAGGATATAGGACCTGTCTTACCTGCTGTAGGATGCAGCACTCTCAGGATATAGGACCTGTCTTACCTGCTGTAGGATGCAGCACTCTCAGGATATAGGACCTGTCTTACCTGCTGTAGGATGCAGCACTCTCAGGATATAGGACCTGTCTTACCTGCTGTAGGATGCAGCACTCTCAGGATATAGGACCTGTCTTACCTGCTGTAGGATGCAGCACTCTCAGGATATAGGACCTGTCTTACCTGCTGTAGGATGCAGCACTCTCAGGATATAGGACCTGTCTTACCTGCTGTAGGATGCAGCACTCTCAGGATATAGGACCTGTCTTACCTGCTGTAGGATGCAGCACTCTCAGGATATAGGACCTGTCTTACCTGCTGTAGGATGCAGCACTCTCAGGATATAGGACCTGTCTTACCTGCTGTAGGATGCAGCACTCTCAGGATATAGGACCTGTCTTACCTGCTGTAGGATGCAGCACTCTCAGGATATAGGACCTGTCTTACCTGCTGTAGGATGCAGCACTCTCAGGATATAGGACCTGTCTTACCTGCTGTAGGCCCGGCGCTCGGCACATTCAAGTGCAGGACGATCAATATTATCTTGCTGTGTAGGATGCCAGCCTGCATTCTGCAGGATGTAGCCAATAGATGTTATGCGGTCTATTCTTTAGTGGCCGCCGAACTAAGGTCATTCCCGTACTTCTCATTAGGCACACAAGCGTGTTTGTCCATTTTTACCATAACTTGTGGAATTTTTGTGTTTGTTTGAACCGATAATTCCGTTGTATATTACGGATGGATGGTCACTCTGTCGTTTGGATTTTAAAGCGTTATATGCTCAACTCTGATGCAGTTCTCAATGCATTCATAAACAACTTTTTCCGCCTAACAATTTAATGCAACTAAATCTGGAAATATCTCTACGCTCTTTAGTTATATAATACTTGATACTAAATTGACGATTATTGTTATCGGATTAATTAGAGATGTACAAGATTACTGAAGAAAACTAAAGCGTCAGCCCTTGGTTCATTACTGCTCAATGCTCATGTCTTATTGTTCATAAATTTTATTGCATATGTTACATATATTTTCTACAACCTGTGCATACTCGTTAATTATATTATCGATTAAGATATTTTGATTTGTGTGATGCATTTGATTTCACATCTCGTTTGTCGAATCGCGTATGGGCGGACCTGAGGCAAGCAAGCTATAGCTAAAATATTCTCTACCAGGCAAACGACGTTGAGTCAATGTTGACTGAACGTTGCTTCAACTTAGTTTGCCTGGTGAGTCCAATTATTCGTACTCCGTCTCTGTTAGAGCAAGCTTGCTGCTTAGGGGTGTCTAGCCACGGGCTCTAGTAGTCTGATGCTCTACAGTAATTTTGTATCGGTGCATTTATTTTTCTGGAACGCGCAGCGACTAAGGATTGTGCGCATTACTTCGCTTCTTCATAATGTAGGAACATAGTGCTGGTTATTTGTTGCCAGAATATTTCAGACGACGGTCGTAGTTAATGCTTAACAATATTTGCAAAACGTTTTGAAGAATTTAGAGAAAATATAAATTTCAATCTGCTTTTGAAATTTAATATTATTACCTAAATTATAGGGAAACTGGCTTGGGTGCCAGTAGGAACTACCGCTACTGCGTCTCAAGACTATACATTTAACTATGAGACTGCAGTTGGATGTTCCATTTATGCTTGCTGACATTTTGTGACGTTTCCAGTCTACCGTATATGCGACGGGACATAATTGAAAGTTTTCAGTTTAAACCTGCATTGGTGCACCCAGCATTTGGTTACAAAATGTATGACTAAGGTAGAAAAAACAATATCTCTGCTTTTGATTTATTAAGTGCACTCTTTAAGTCCACATAGAAGTTGATGCCATTGCATTCCTTATGAAATTTGTGCATTTTTGCGAAATCTTGTGCAATAACAGGAATAATTAACCATGAGCTGTATTTATACGTAATGATAATGCAACTATCTAACTTAAAATATTGCCTTTTTCTACATCTTCGCATGAGAATATTGTACGTTTTCCTGCAGATGCGGATTGAAGTTAACCTAAAATTTCTGACGCATTTTTGAATGCCGTCCGAGTGTGTTTCCCCTCGGCCCTCAGTGATGATCTGATACTCTAGTTCCGTTTCGAATGCTGCAATCAGTGCAGTGAGTATTTGCACAAAATCTTGTCATTTTTCAATCTCAAGAGCAACAAGACACGTGTGACAAGCAGAAAATCTGCTGAACCATACCCTTCACTACTCGCATATTTCTTTAAGAAGTCAACAGCTCAACCCACGCCGGCACCGCCAGCGCCTGGGCGCCAGCCGCCAAGTAGGTTGTAGGTAAATCACTAAACGTAGGTATGTGCAAAAGAAATTTTTTCTCTTATCTTAATGAAAATCATACCATTGAAAAGAGAATTTTTTTGAAAAATACCATATATTTATAAGTGTATTACAAATAAAAGTGAAAAGCTGTGAATTTTTTTCCTTTATTAAATTAGGGTAAATGCGGTATATTCCGACATCGTAGGTAATTCCGTCACCTCTCCAGCTTTTCCTTTATATTAAGCTTTGTTTTAGTTCCATGCGTTCATTGATGGTTGAAATGGTGACGTCATACATTTGCGTGTCGATTAACGCATACGTTTTTTTTTATAGTTTTTCATTTCTCGATGCTTCCTTAATGTGTCGGAATATACCGCGTTTACCCTACATCTCCAAAATAAACCAAGTTTGGCAGTAAAAAAAAATAAAATTGGCACTTGTTTTTTACCTATCATTTCTAGGTTTTATATGAGCCAATTTCAAAGAATTCTAGCACCATTGGCATTGGAAAGCTCTTGTTGTTGGCTAAGGCCCTATCTATTCTTTTCTAACTAAAACAAAATATTTTAGACCTTTTGGTTGAGACTTTGTCAGTACGTATGACTTAACTGCGAGTCTGCGGGCTGACCATCAACCATGGATCCCACTGTGCAGAGAGTGAATGAATATTGCAAGATCTTTGGTGACGCTTCAGTAGCAAAATTCCACTATGCAGAGGGTGGATGCAGCGTCGGCAATATATGGATTTTTAGCCCAAAGCGTCGCCGGCCATTTTAAAGATGCGTCGCTGGGTAATTTTTAATGAAAAGCCATTTACGCTGAGTAATGACAAACTATTTACAAGCCACGAACTTATTACAAGGTTGCATGCACGTGCTGTCTCTTATACACATCTATTTTCATTTCCAAACCTGAAAAAGTCATTGAAAATTTCCAGTTTCCATCAGTTGATGCAGTAAAAAGAGCTGCCATTGCATGGTTCAAATGGCATTACTCTCAGTTTTACACAGATCGATATAAAGGCTAGTATCAGTGTTTACATAAATGTATCGGCCTAGAT